CGCAGACTGCAGGCCCTTGGACTTGGCTGTCAGACCCGGCCAGCTGAGGTGGGCCGGCCCAGCATCTGCTGCTCTATTGTGCTTACTGCTGGCCCCATCTGGTTTCCGTCAGAGTGGGTGCCAGCCAATTACTAATCTATTAGAGAGACATAAAACCAAGACCGCGCTTCTCGTCCCTGGCTTTCCCCTCTGTTTTGCTTGGCTTGCATTCTTGGTTCTTGTTTATTTTACGGGGTGAGGGGAGATGGGCGACTGTCTGGGCGAAGGGGGCAGGGGCATGAGCCATCCTTGCTTCCCCATGAAGAGGGGATTCACATTGCATTTCTTGGTGATGACCACTACCATGTATCCCGGTCACTGAACGCCTGGCACTGAACTAGCTCCGCATTGTCCCGTCCCATCCGTTTACAGGTGGAAGAGCTGATACTCAGAAAAGTTAACTAGCTTCTCCCAAGGTCCTGCGGCTAGCAAGGAACCAGTATTCAAACCCATGGCTGCCTCTTAATTAAATTGTGTCTTGGGCCACTTTTAAGTCTTGAGAAGCCATCTGTACCCGGTCCTTGGAGCTAATGAGGAAAGTCTGTGAAGTTTCCAGGAGAGGGGACTTTGTATTTCTCCTCCCAAATAGGGGTCTCTTAATTAGGACGCAGTCCCCCCGAGTGTGATTCTGAGTGTCAGTTTGTGGAATTAGCCCACCCAGTTGAAGACGCTAGGGGGCAAGTCCATGGTGGGTGCGGCTGGCCTGCTCTCACAAAGCGTCCCCCACCCACTCACGGAATGCTCCTGCCCCCCCGCCAGCTGCCGGCTGGTGGCATTGCTCTCCTCTCTGTGGCACATGCTGAGAAAGAGAGAAGACACCGTGGACTGCCTTCTCTGGGCTAACTTTGGCCACGTAGCCCCCCCTTCCCCGGTTACAGCCACGCTCTGGGCACCAGCCGCAGTGCCACGCCGGGAAGCTTGTTTTCCAAAACAAGATTAACGTTATTTTATTTCCTTCGAAAGCAAAGGGCACATGTGTTTCCACTAGGAAAGGGCTTCTTACCAAATGAATCACGTTGAGGGGTTGCCGGCGGGTGGAGGAGAGTGGCCACCGAGTAGTAGCATGCAGTAATTACGTCTGCGCCCAGACTCAGAATAAGTCTGCTCAGCTTTCAGAAGCCCAGGTGGCCTGGAGCGCCCAACTCCTCGGATCCTGTCAGGCCGTGGGGGGCCGGGGAGGGGGGACCCACAGTCCCGTCTTGCACCTCGGGGGCCTGGAAGGAGCAGCTCAAAAATGACTCCAGGACTTCCCGTAAAGAACTTTGAAAGGGAGGTGGCGGGAACACATCTACTTCCAGATGTTTGTCAGTTTCAGGACACCTGGCCTGGGGCCTCATGAAGTCCCCCTTAGAGGGGCTGGCCAGGCTGTTGGGGACCCCCAGGGGATCCCCCTCATTCCTTTCATCTTTTCCCTTTGCCCTCGGACTTTCTAGTCTCTTAAATTGGCCAGAGCCTCCTCCTGCTAGTTAGTCCCCAAAAGCTTGGGGGTAGCTTCTAGATCAGGGGTCCTCAAACTTTTTAAACAGGGGGCCTGTTCACTGTGCCTCAGACCCGTTGGAGGGCCAGACTATAGTTTTTTTAAAAACTATGAGCAAACTCCTATGCACACTGCACATATCTTATTTTGAAGTAAAAAAACAAAGGGGGCAACAACACTTGGCGGGCCGGATAAAGGTCCTCTGTGGGCCGTGGTTTGAGGATGCCTGTTCTAGGTGGTCTCGAGGCTAAGGTCTCTATTGCTGTTTCCGTCCTCTGTGAGCCTCACCTGAGATTGGTCTCTACTAGGGGTCAGCATATTGTGGTGCAGCTTGGCATGCCACGTCTGTATGTGGGTGTGGGTGTGGGTGTTTAAATAAAGTTTTATGAGAACACACCTCTCGAACTTCCATGCATGCGCTTAGAAAAGCCCATCTGCTGATTACTGTGACACCACTACATGAGTGGGGGTTCTCTTAAACACAGAGAGGCAGCCTGTGGGGCGGTTCTAGGCATCGGCATGGCCTGCACCTTGAGGACCACCTGTGTTGAAGGGGCAGGCCCTATCCTTTCTGCCTGTGACCCTCTGGGGCCCGTTCCCTGTACTTCCCCACCCACACCTCGGAAGCCAGCGTTCGAACAGCTTGTCCCTCCAAGTGGGGACTGGACAACACCGTGAATGCAGAGCATGACCTGCTGAGCCGGGCGCACACGCGGGAGGTAGCCAGTATTCAGGGGCTTGCTTTCACGATGACTATCCACTTGCATTTCTGCTGGGAATCGCTTGGCAACGTCTCCTTGTCTGCAGGATGAACCCCCAACTTGTGAGCCAAGGGCTAGGTCCCGCCAGGCCTGGCAAAGTCTCCCCTTAATCCCACCTCAGTGAAGGGCCAGATTCACCCGCCCTCATCACCCTGTGCCACGACCAGGGCTCTCCTGACCTCACACACCGTGCAACCACGTGTCGGCCCTTGCTCGAGGTAGTTTGCATACACTGTGTCATTTAAGCCTAAGAACTCTTTATGTGATTTCTGTTAGAGAGGATTATCCATAGAGCTGTGACAGAGAGAAGGTGGAAGCTGTCAAAGATTTTCTTTCCCTGGGAGTTACAGTCAACCAGCACCTATGGCGAGAAGGCAAACGCTCTGTGCAAATCTGCCCCAGAGGACGAAGGTGCCCCTGACTCAAGTCAAGATAATTCAGTCACCTGTGCACGGAAAGGCTGGACAAAGAGCCAGGAAGACGAATTGATGCCCTTGAGTTTTGGGGTTGGTGATGAAGGTTGACTGTCCCACGGGCTGCAGCAGAATGACAGATCCGTCTCGGAAGAAGGGCACGCAGAGTGATCCTTAGAAGCGAGAATGCCCAGGCTTGGTCTCACGTACTCTGGACATGTTATGCGGAAGGGGCAGTCTCTGCAGAAGGACACCTGCTCACTAACGTTGAATGTCAGTGGAAAGGAGACAGGGCCTCCGTGAGCGGACTGACATGGGAACTCCAGTGGGCCCCCACAGAGCAGCAGTTAGGGGGTGCCAAAGACCGGGCAGTGTTTCGGTCTGTTTCACAGGGGAGGGCTCGAGGAGTTGGGCCGACTAGTGGGCACCTAGTAGCATTGCTGCGGGCGCCACAGCAGCACCGGCACCAGGGTGTTTACAAATGAGACGATGAAGGGAGGCGAGCTTTGAACCACTCACCTTCACAGTCCCCCTGTGAGGAACTGCAGAACCCTCCTTCAGCTGCTGGCCCACGTGGTCTCCTGAGGTTTCCACGGGACTTATCAGAGAAACCCGTCCGCCACCCTGGCCAGACTCCTCACGCGCGCACCGCTCTCGACAGAGTACTTACTGTCTTTCTGGTTGGGACTTGGGATGTTTTTCTGGTCTGTACCTCTGTCACTTTGCATCACGTCCACACACATACCTGGACTGTGAGCTGCTCGCTTGCAGGAATTAGATCCCGTGAACGTCCTGTGTTCGTGTCAGAGCTGTTGCTACCATATAACGAGGGCGCAGGGAGGTAGGTGGGTGGGAAGATGCTTCCAAAAAGGGGGGAGGGCTGTGATCGGGAGACGCCACGTTCTCGGTGGGCTCCTGTCTTTTTACCAAGGTGTTACATGTTGAGCTGCTAACAGCAAGGTCAGCCGTTTGAAACCACCATCCACTCTTTGGGAGAAAGGCGGGGCTTAAGAGTCACGGTCTCAAACTCACCAGGGTCACTGAGTCAGCATCCACTCGATGGCAGTGAGTTTAGCCTGAGGTTGGGGATTTTTTTTAACAGGTCTCTCTCTGTTGGGAAGCAGCCTCTTACATTGATTAAAAATAGGCACACTTTGCTCTCTTGCTTTTTACAGATAGAAGCTTCACAGCAGCCCTGAGTGGAACAACGCTGTCAGCACCATTGTCCCCACAGTGTGTGCTCACTCTCTGTCTGTGTGTCCCATTTGGCCATCCTCACGGGTCAGACCTCCTCAGGAGCAGTCACACGCCTACTAGACTGTAATCTAGTGTCGACGTAGCTTTTCCAGGCACCGGGAAACCAAGAGGCCCATGTGTCTGTCGATACTCCATCGTCGTGGTGATCTGAATCATAGCGGGCTCCAGAGCCCCTTGGCTTGAGCCTGAATCCTATTGTACTGGTTGCTGATTTTCCCCAGCTGTACATGGAGTGGTCTGTGCTTTGTAGTTGATGTGAAGCCCGCCCTCACTTAGCCCAGTGTCTGGCATGCAGCACTGTAGTTTAGTCTCTGCAGGTGCTGTTGCAGTGAAAGCACTTTAGTGTACTTGAGTGTAAATTACACCCAAAATACAAGCTGTGGCAGGAGCCAGGGCAGGCCCTGTGCCTGTACCCAGCCCAGCCCACTCCCACCTCCCCTGAGTCTGAGTCTCAGTGTGCACACGGGCGGGGTACCTGGTGGGTCTTCACTCTGTCTCCGGCCCGCCTGCACCCTATGGGTAAAGCAAGGTTCTCATCCTTCTGGATCCCCTCTCCTAAAACACAGCACCCACCCCAGAGCAGCCAAGTTATCCGGTGCTGGAAGAAAAAGTAATTGCCACCCTGGAGAAGCGCTGCCGGTGTCGGGCTCCCCCAGGGATCCACGGAGGCTAGTGAATCACATCCTGCGAAGCAGTGGGTGATCCTTAGCGCTGCCTGCCACGGGGAGTCCATGCCTGCCACGGGGAGTCCGTGTTTTGACCGAGACGTTTTGAACACACCACCCTAAAGTCCCTTTCCTGTTGAGCGATTTGCCTCGGTCGGCTGGAATGCTCCCAGACAGCACAGTCAGCCCCAGCGGTCGTGTTTGGGAGCCGAGGGCCACCGCGGGATGTTCACCGATAGCACATTTACAGGCTGACTTGGAGCCGGCCTGGGGAGGCATTGCACAATAGGGACTAATAACCAGACCAGACCAGGAGTAAGGCAGTGAGTGCTCTCGCCAGTTTAAAGGTGGAATAAAAGGCCTTTCTCTGTGTTTGCTTTCCGTTTAGGTAACTACTCCAGACCCCCCACGTATAGCGGGGTGCCCAGCGCGAGCTACAGCGGCCCCGGGCCCGGCATGGGTGTCAATGCGAACAGCCAGATGCACGGACAGGGGCCCAGCCAGCAGTGTGGGGCTATACCCCTGGGACGAATGCCACCGGCCGGGATGCAAAGCAGACCGTTTCCTGGAAACCTGAGCAGCATGACCCCCAGCTCTCCCGGCATGCCGCAGCAGGGAGGGCCAGGGATGGGGCCGCCCATGCCCACTGTGAACCGTAAGGCTCAGGAGGCGGCCGCGGCCGTGATGCAGGCTGCTGCAAACTCGGCGCAAAGCAGGTACGACTCCCAGGACCCACGCCCCGGGCGGGCTCTCCGGGCGTCCACGCTTGGGCAGGCCAGAGCCAGTCAGCACAGTCGCTGTTCTTGTGCTAAAGCCTCTTGTAAAGGTCAGAGGGCAAAGGGCAGGCCTGGGGAGGCAGGTGGTAGGCAGATACTGGAAATGCCCAGCAAGAGTCCTCTCATCGGCACATGGAAACCAGGCCCCGATCGGGGAAGGTCCCACGTAAGGCAGTGGCTTTCAAGCGGGAAATGCAAAAGATTCCAAACTATCGACATCCTTTAAAAAGTTTGAAATGAAAAGCTCTCTTCTATTTCTTTTTTACGCACTAAAAATCCTTTTCAATTGGAAGTCGTGTGTGTGTTACATGTGTGTATTGTGTGTCTACTCGTGTATGTGCGAGGCTTACGGCATTTGTTCGAGGGTGGCTACAGAAAGTTCGTGGAAACATTTCCATTAACCCAACCTTCCCCTTTTCCACAAACATTTTGAAGCCCCCCTTGTGCCCTTTGTGCCAGGCTTGCTTTACTGGTCCTACCCAAAATGTGCCACGATGCAGTGTTTCGGCAAGTGTCATTAGAGCAGTGGTTCTCCACCCGCCCGGTGCCCGACCCTTTCGTCCAGTTCCTCATGTGGTGGGGACTCCCAACCATCACGTTATTTGTGTTGCTGCTTCATCACTGTTAGTGTGCTACTGTGATGCATTAGGCGACCCCCGTGAAAGGGCCGGGGTCCGTTCCACAGGTCGAGAACTGCTGCATTAGAGCAAAGCGTTTGCCCCTATCACGTCCTTCTTTAATCCGACGTTTCTTCCTTTAAGGAACTACACCACCTGTTGAGAAACAGCACAGGGAAGGCAGCTGGGAAAAGATGGAAGTGTGTGTGTGCGCGTATGTGTGTGTGCGTGTCCATCCCGTGTTACTGTTCCTCTAGCTGCTGTGTGGGGAATGCAGGGTCCCTGCTCCAGTCTCAGTTGCTGCAAATGGTCCTGACTCTCCCTGGAGGAACTGACATGAAATCAGTCTCTCTCCACTACTTTACCTCGACTTAAAACCTCCCAGCACTCCCCGTCCCCAGCACACCTCTAAACTGAACTTAAGACGTCAGGGGACAGTTTTGCACACCTGTGTCTGAAGCCCGCCCAGCTGGCCCACTTAAAAGTTTCAGGGTGGGTTTAAATGAATGGTCCACGTACTAAACTCACAAAGCACTGGTCATTTTCCTTCTGTTCCGTGGAAGAGTTGACTGCATTTGGCAGGACGCCTTTGACAGTGGTTGGCCAAGGTGGCCACAGTTCTGCTTGATTGAAAAGCCTCCCCCACCACCCCACAGTGTCCCTTTGTGAATCCGCTGACTAGGGTGCATGTGTGAGTACGCATCCGTGCACCCTGGTTTCTGTCTCCGTCAGTGGCCACTGCCCCAGGGGGCTTGCAAGATTGTGAGTGGGGACTGCATCTTTGCACATTCTCTCTGGCTTTTACCAAAGTCAGAAACTGGACACTGAGGTTCTCTGCCTAAGTCTCTTCTATTCCTGTGCCCTGGTCCCCACCCGTTTCCTTCCAAAACCATCTCACCTGGTTCAGCGTGAGACAGAGGAAACTGCTGGGTACAGAGTAGGATGCCCACCTGCCACCTTCTGTCCCTCTCTAGGCCTCGGGGGGCCACAGGCAAGCAGGGGGGTCCTGCTTGTGCTGCAGAACCAACCCATAGAAGCTGTTCTCTGTTCTGCTTTAGGCCGCCATACATTAGGTCGCCTGCTTATCCCAGCCAGTCTGGGGCTGGCGGACACCCCCCGTTTTCTTCCCAGCACCCCAACTATGGCAACTCTCAGGCTCCCCTGCTGCACCAGCCTGACCAGTACGGGTAGGTAGCACCATGCTGGACATGCGGCGGGGCCCTGGCATCCCTTTGAGCCTGTTCATGAGTGCACCCCTGGCTGCTGGGGGGCCTCCCATACCAGCAGAGTGAGAACACCCCAAGTAGGCCCACCCTGAGGGGCGGGGGGGCGTCTTGTCACTCCCCTCTGTGTAGTTCTGGTCTTTCCTGTTCCGTTCTGTTTCGTTTTGTGGGTTGATTCCTTGCTTGTTCTTAGTAACTGCCCTGTGGCGGTGCGGGGGACCTGCATGCCATCCCACAGGCCCCATCTGTGCATGGCTTCGGCATGGCTCCCCCTCTGCCCCGCCCCCCCTCCCCAAACCGAGCCTGAGAGCAAAATCCAACCTATTTCTGTGCCACACAACGAGGTCACCTCGGCTCCATCGCCCCCTTGTCCGAGGCGTGGTGTGTGGGAACTTGCGTGAGCACCGCCACCATCATCTCCGCTGTGATTACCCCGCCTCCACTGCCAGCCACAGTCTTGTCTGGGGAGAAACGGGCCACAGCAGGGATGACAATGGTTATCCTTACCGACTCGTACAGGGTTGGTTTCCTCCTTCCCCAGCAAGCCCCTGCCCCAGAGATCCGTATGCCCCTCTCCCAAAGAGTTGGAGGTCAGTGAGGGTACCAGAAAGACCCCTCCCAGCGCCCAGCACAGAATCTTATTTCTAAGCGTGGTTACGCAGTTCCACCCAAGAGTTACATACAGCGACAGAAAGTATGTCTCCTCTCGCTACAAAACAACATCGAACTCTGTCCCCGTGTTTACGCTACTCGGTGCTCCGAGAGCATATTGCTATCGGGGTGGGCCAAGCAGAAACATTTTCTTGATGCTGTTGTGAATGTGCTGCGACATTCCAGACTTACTCAACGGCCAGTGGTCATTGCGGGAGGCTCAGAGCCACAACTTTGGTTAAACGGAAACTGGGAGCAGCTAGTGTTTGCACTACTTTCAGAACCGCGCCTTCCCTGCTCGCTGTGGACGCCACAGCAGGCCCCTGTCATCGTGGTGTGCTCCCTGTGTGGTTCCTGAAGGAGCCCTGCCAGCGCGGGGGTTTCAGTGTGGCTGCTACCAAAAGTTTGGCTATTCAAATGCACCTGCTGCTCTGCTGGAGGAAGATGCCGCAGCCCTTCCTTACAGACTGAGACCCCAAGAGCAGCTTCTTCCCTGCCCCGAGGGTCCCAGTGAGTCAGAATCCACTCCCTGGCGGGAGGCGGGGAGCATCCTGCTTTGTGTCTGTGGTTTGACAGCAAGAGCAAAGGATGGCTTTTGGCATTGGGAGTTCTGGGGTGGGCCAGCAGCTAGAGAATTTCGTAAGCGTAGTCCTGAGAGCAAACGGGCAAGTGTCTTTTCCTCTCCCCCTTTCCCATGGTCCCTTCAAGGACGATTGGGAGGTCACAGTGGGGGGCAGAGAAGTACTTCTCATCAGCTACTAATCCGTAGAATCTGCCCTTTACTGACTCGGGAGGCCTATTTAGCCCCACAAAGCTGGTTTGGCTGTGCCTTGCCAAGCCACATTAAGCAGCTGTGTAAAATGAATTTAAATGGCAGGCATCAGAGTGAAATCTCTTCCACTGGGGCGGAAAATCAATGTTGGCTGAGCAGCGCGAGACGCTTGGATCGGCTGCTCCGCCAGCAGTGTCCAGAGTTTGTCCTCGGAACAGGCTCCCCCACCCCCAGCCCCGTCTCTTTCAAAGAAGGAGGGCTGTGGCGATGAGCTATCAATCCTGCAGACGCACTTGGCAAATGACCCACCTTTGCCTGTGGTCGCTGGGAAGTTTGCCTCTGACGTCCAATGTCATCTTCCTGAATACAGAACACAGAGAGGTCTCAATCCATCCTGAAACCTTCCTCCACTCCCGGGGTGATACACTGACAGCCCCTGGTGCCCTGGTGACAAGCAGATGCTCAGATATGAGCAGGAGAGAGAGGGAGAGAGAGAGAGACCTGTTTTCTGGCTGGGGTGTAAGAAATCTGCTTTGTCAACTTGCTTTCACAGGGCCGAAAGCCTGTGGTTTTTGTTGATTACTCTCCTCTGGGGTGGGTGGGTGGGGTTTGCTAATAGCCAGTTTGCTAATTGTCATTTTCTCTTGGACTAGGGGTGGGGGCGGGGCAAAGGCAAATGCTGCTCAGGCCTTGGAGGAAACCTTGGGTCCCCAGCCTGTGTCATGCTGACTGCCTTCCCAAATCAGAATCCCAGTCAGCCAGGGGCCTGGGGCGGATCTGAGAAAGACAGATCCGTGACTTGGATGGAGACGGAAACAAAGTCCTCGAGCAGTGATGCCCTGACCCGATGGCACTCCAGCGCCGAGCTCGTAGAGCGTACGGTGGCAGAGGCGAGCAAGCGTGCGTGTGGCACGCCGTGAGGAGGTTCTCTTCACGTCTTCCTGTACGTGTGCGCTCTTCTTGGTGGTGTGCTGAAAGTTTACCCAGCAAGCAGGTTCCCCTTTAGCAATGTCCTGTCACGCTCTTCAGCGACACAGATTGGACGTGCCACAGGGTGTCCACCTCCTCGCTGCCCAGTTCCAGTAAGCTGCCCCCGCCCCCCACCACCACCACTGCATCCACCCTTGCTTTCACTTCCATGGTGACCACTTGGTCTCCCTGAGATTGTTTGCAGGGGGCACAGTGCCCCTAGGGGCTGGTGTGTGGCTTCAGTTCCCAGGGTCAGGATAGCTGAGAGCAGTAGTTTCAGCAATTCCGTCCGTCTCTATCAGTCCAATAAGCTTAGCCTTGGGGGTGGGTGGGGGGGGGTTTGCTTGTTTTTATAGGTTTTTTTGTTTTGTTTTTAAGGAACATGAGTTTTGGTCTCCCGCCAATCCCTTTTTTAAGAGAGGCTGTCGGGAGCACATCCGCCCGGCGCCTCAACGATGGGACCTGGCGATGAGTAGCATGTTGGTCAGCTTGGAGCAGATGAGACCCATCCGCGTATCAGGACCTACCTCAGATGTGATGAATCTGTGTTCAGATACCAGATGAGCCGAGCGATCATTTCTGAGTGGATGGAAGGAATGGCCTCTTAAGGCCCACCTTCTGGGAGCCCCGGGGCCCCCACAGCACATCCTTGTCCCCCAGAGCGTATGCTTCTCGATGGACTGAGGGAGGGCACTGGAAATCTGACCT